AGATAGGGAGAGAGAGAGAGAGAGAGAGAGAGAGAGAGATAAAATGATTTTTTTTTAAAAGAAAGTAAAAGGTGAGACAATTTTTTTTTTAAAGATGGGAAAAATGTTTTACATTTTTTACATAGCTCTGAAAAACATCCATTTGTTTGGGGGGGCATACCCCCTGGTATGTCCAATGTATACGTCTTCGGTCTTGTATAATTCGATGTGCTCTCCAGCCTCATTTCTATCCCAAGGCCCTATTTCCATATACTTCCAAGTGCTGATCCTTCTCCTGTGTTTGACTTTTGCATTCTAATCAGCAATTCTCAATGCATACTGATTGCATGTTTGAACAATTTCAGACTGGGATTTGGTATAAGTCTTCAATGTCGACTTTGGCATTAGCTGTTGTGGGTAAAGTTGAATAATAGTCGTATCTGCTGGTCTTCCTTGCAGGCTTATGAATATTATCCTTTCACTGACAGAGTCCCACTTCGGGACAGATCTGGACACGTTCTTTTGATGATGAATGTGACACTCTTCCTCTTCACGGGGTAATTTCCAGGAAACTATGTGATTGTCTGAGCCAAAATGTCCGATAAAGCTCATTTCAGTCACTAAATGCATTCATGTATGTATTCCAGCCTGTTTGACAACTTTCAATTTTCCTAGAGTCATCCTCCGACTTCACACATTCACATTGTGGTGATTCGCGGGCATTTTCAGCAGGTGCTTCTCATTTTGAGCCATGCCACGGCAGCAAGAAGGTCCCGAAAGTTCTGTGTCATCTGTGTCGTTAAGATCAACTGTGTTTAGAGGAGGCAGTTCTTCTTCAGTAATATTTTGAGTGCCATCCATCTGAGGGGCTCATCTTTCAGCACGACACCAGACCATGTTCCACTGCCACTCCTAAGGTTTTCATTGGCCAACGCTTTTCGAGTTACACAGCCAGGGTCCTAGTCTGTAAGCTCTGCGCTGCTGATGTTTGAAAGCGTGATGGCGTTCCTTCCAGCATCACAGCCAGACAGAAGCCACCACAGTAGGACACACTGACAGATGAGTGCTGGGTAGATAAGGCACATAGGCAGGGGGGGAAAAAGGAAGAGAGATCGGATGTGGGTTAGCCAACAAGGATGGCAGAAAACAAGTAAGTTAACCTTGGGCAAATTATTTTTACGAGCCTCCCTTTCCTATTCAAGCCAGATAACTAAAGTTCACACGGCTGAGACTGTGTCTACCCATTTACTCAGCAACAAAGAACAATTATGTTCCAGTGCGCAAGGATGGACAAGTTTGTTCTCTAGTTTAATGGGGCAGAAAAAGCAACATACAACACGTGAGAGGACAGACGTTGATACAGCAGAGCAAGGGGGATAGAGAGAAGAACTCGAGTGCCATTTCCAATGATGGTCATATATTTAGATACTTCATCTAAAATCAATTTCTCCACGTGGCAGGGGATGCTTGCACCACTCACGAGCAGCAGCTCTTGGGGAACGAGCAGCAGACGAGATTTAGCAGGCAGTGGCACTTCGGAAACGTTTCGCCCTTTCCTAGAAATGCCAAAACAATGCCGTTGGCTTGCACAACTAACTCTAGGGTCTCAGGCTTATTTGATCGCTGTGGATAAACGTGTGTAGACTACTAGTTTCATAGAGTGGGACATTTTACAAAGGGTTGAACAGCTTGGCCAGACATCAATAATAAGATAACCCAAACCATCAAAGCTCATTGCAGTGTGAGGTGACCACGGCTCTGATCTGAGCAAACTCAGAGTGGGTGCCGGGTGGGTTTTCTATCCTATTCGGTAACTCTGTAGCTTTGTGTCTTTACTTGAAATCAATGGTTTTCTGTAGGTTTCACTAGTCCCTCCTCCTAACTTATGCCTCACCTAGAATCTTCAATAACACAGCGCACCATACGGTAATAATAGGTGTGATGTATTTTTTATAGAACATATTTTATAAACCCAGGGACTGACAGAGGTCAATGAGTTCTGTCAACTAGTTCAAACCTAATTGTGGTGTCATTTAAAAAATAAATTTATATACAGCATTCTCAATAAAGTGGATTTATGTAACTGGTACTCTCTTTTAAAATCCAGAGGTCTATATCCAATTACCTCAGTGTCCACTCTACTTGGATAATTCACCTAACAAACAAAAAAACCCAAAGAAAACAACTCACTGCCCTGGAGTCGATATTGATTCATAGTAACTCTATAGGACAGGGTAGAACTGCCCCTTTAAGTATCCAAGACTACCTGTTTATGGCCCAGTCTCTCTCAGGAGGAGTGGCTGGTGGTTTTGAACTGCTGACATTGTGGATCGCAGCGCCTCCAAGGATAATTCTCAGGCACCTCAAATTTAACAAGACCAAAATGGAATGTTTGACCTTGCCTCTCCTCATCTCCAAATACGCGCTCCTTCCAGTAGCTCCCATTCTAAACGCATAACGCCTCTACTTGAGGCGTTCCGTTAATAGGGTAAGCTGGAAGACTGGGAATCTTGCTAATTTCTCACAGGCCAAGTTCTCACTTTACCTCCGAAATGTATCACAAATCCATCAATTTCTCTCCATCTTCATTACCATAACGCTAATCTAAGTCTTTATCTATTTCTACACTTCCACTCTTGCCTATGTCCATCCTGCATAAAGCAGCAGGCACTCTTAAAATAATTTATATATATCGATATAGATATCAAAGTGTTGGCTAGTTCAAACCTCATTGTAGTGTAATTTTTTAAAGTCTATACAGCACATATATAGATATGTAGCGTATCGTCACAAGGAAGCTGGAAAATTCCACGGAAAAACTCCCTAAGAAGAAGGGAGTAGACAAGAAGAATTCAGCCGATAAATTGCAGTAAAAACTTACGAATTCAAGGACCTTGCGATTAAAGAATGCGCTCCCACATTGAGCATGTGCAGTGGGGAGCGACATGACCTGGAGAAACCTCGTAGCTCATTATAATAGAAAGCAGACACCAGTGACCGGCTAGACCAGAGATCGCCGCCATGACACTTCCGACCGGACTAAATAAGGGAAAATGTGGGATGGACTCCAAATAGTTCTCCACTGCGTTATTGTTTAAATCTCTCTCCTTTGTACCACCCTGGGTCGTCTCTACTCCGCGGGGACTGACCTGTACCCCGTTAAGAACGTATTTTTGCTTTGAAATAAATACTTGGCTGAACGAGATGCTGCGCCTGTGCAGTATTTTCCGACTGCAGTTGGGCTACTGAGTTCTTCGGAGAGAAATGGAACAGGAGGCCAGGGGTGTCTGGAGAGGATAGCGTCTCCCACATTAACCGGCGTCAAGGGTTTCCTTTCGGATGAATTTAAAAAATTCGTATCATGATCCACAAAGCACTGCATGATGACCCATCTCCCGCCTCCCTCTATAACGCCACGGACACCTTTCTTCTCTTAACGCCTTCATTTCCCCAAAGATCAATCTTCACTCCCTCATCAGCACCCCACTCCACCCAAATAGCCTTCACTAGTGGGGTAGTGGTTATGCATGGGCAGCTATCTACAAGCAGTCCAAAACCACCAGCCGCTGGGGGGTGGGGGTGAGGGGGAGACAGGGCTTCCTACTCCCACAAAGAGTAACAAGCTCGCTCTTTCAAAAAAAAGAGTTACGGTCTCAGAAACTCACGGGGACTGTTGTATCCTGTCCTATAGCCACTATAAGTTGACAGATAGGAGTGAGTTTTGTTTTGCTTTGTTTTTGGTGATGGGGTCTTTCTTTGCTCTTCTTCTACCTAGTCAATCCTCTCAGAGGTTGCCCCAGGCGACCCTCCTTTGTCCCCTAATCTTAAATCATGCCCCAATCCCTTAGGGCAACTGTTTCTTTCTTTCCATGCACTTCCCATAATTTTAAATACATGTTTATTCATGTAATCATTTGACTAATGTCTATCTTCTTCGTTTCAGCGTTAACTTCAGGAGGACAGTGGTCATATCCATTTCGTTCACTTCTGTATATCCCTAACAGCAGCAGCAGCATTGGAAACACTATGAGGAAGAGAGATGCCAAGCGCTCTGTACGCCGTGATGCTGAGCCAATTTAACAGATGCCCAGAACCAGGGCTCACGTTTATGGAACGAATCAACCCAGCTCCGACCTACAAGGAGCACACAACCGCCTGAAACGGCCCTTCAGCAACTCGGATAGCAGGGACATTATTCTTTCTATGGACCACAGCACTTTGGCTGCAGTCCCCTCCCACTGATGCTACGGGTCACGGCGAGTGCACGCTTTGAGGACGCAGCCGCCCGCGTGCGCCTCGCTCCCTCTGCCCTTCCACCCGCTCCCTGCAGAAGTTACTGGGGCTCCGCTCCAGCGGCGGTGGTCTGCACGCAAGGCCGCGGCGGCCCGCAGGACCACCAGCCAGCGCCCGCCGGCCCACCAGCGGCGTCCTCCCGGCA